TAACACTAAATGTTATTCCTAAAATGTTCAGTAATATATACTTTTTTAGTTGAACTAATAGACCAGCATTAAACTTAAAGGCAGCCATGTTTTTATTGCTTGTTGTGGGCATAAATGGAAGGAAACCTTAGACTCTGACCTGTACAGCTTCCTGTTTCCTTCACCATGTTTAACCGTGTAAAAGCTGCATGAACAAATTGATGTAACACAAAAGCAGAAACATTTCACAAATCCAGAGTCTCTCCCTCCCTGCAGCTCTACCCAKCGTGAGGTGTTTTCTTAAACACATTACTCACTGAATCACCTCGGACTAAAAATAAACCTCACCGTGTAAAGGGAGGAATCTGTTCTCTGCACACACACCTTGCACTTTCCGCAAACAGATGATTGGAAAGGACCTTTTAGGAGGTGAAATGATTTCTCCATCCTCCCCACTTGCAGCCGCCCTGCAGGCCCTGAAGAAGAAGAAGCGCTTGGAGCAGCAGCTGGTTCAGATCGACGGCACGCTCTCCACCATCGAGTTCCAGAGGGAAGCTCTGGAGAACTCGCACACCAACACGGAGGTCTTGAAGAACATGGGCTTTGCAGCCAAGGCCATGAAGAACGTCCACAAGAACATGTAAGAGCCTGGTGTTGTAAGAACAAAAAAACATCTACCAGGTTCTGGGATGATGATGACCTAATGTTCTGATTAATTAAAGAAAAGTATGAAGCACTAATTACCTAACAAAGACAATGTGTTTTGTTCAGAAGGCATGCATCATTATTTTATAAACCTTTAATTATAAAATTGTCATTTATTACAACTTGTTTTTTTTAATTTCATGTTTAATTTGCTCCCATTTTTGTTTCTGAATCTTAGGGATGTTGACAAAATAGATGATCTGATGCAGGATATCACAGAGCAACAAGACGTGGCTCGGGAGATCAGCGAAGCCATCTCCGGGCCTTTCGGCGAACAATTTGATGAGGTTTCTGAGCATTTAATTTTTTAGCCCATAGTATTTTAAATATTCCATTCCCTTATTTTGTATCTTCTGCTAATCTGTTGTTGTTGTTGTTGTTGTTGTTGTTGTTTTTAAGGATGAGCTGCTTGCCGAGCTGGAGGAGCTGGAGCAGCAGGAGCTGGAGGACAACATGGAGAGTATGGGCGGACTGCCCAGCGTTCCCAGCACCAAACTGCCTTCAGCCCGACCCAGTCAGAGCACAAGTGAGTCCAAAACAAAAAACCTTCATGAAACTTTACTCCAGTTCAAATTATCTGCTGTTTAAAATGAACTGACACGATGATAATTGTGTAAAAAACTGTCTTTATTTTGTCTATATTTTATGTAGAACAACTAGCTGATTACAATGGGTTCAACTAACTTTGACTATCTTAACCTTGAATCAACAGCCTGCACGAGTCTAATAAAAAAAGCTGTTATCAATAGAGCATAAGTCCCTTGAATTACAATGGCAACTGCAGGAAACAATGCACAAATGGAGCAGAKCCATTTTCAAGCTAATAAAGAATARGCACCATTTCTAGTTATAATCAAAGGAGTTCCAAATAAGCCAGTAGCAGGGGCGGAGCTAGACTTTTTTGCTAGGGGTGGTATGGGGGTGGCCAAGGTGTTATCTAGGGGGGCACATATAAGTGAAGAAAACTACCTTGGATTTGAAAATTCAAGATGGCCACCACAGCTAAATTTTAATGCTACAATGGCTATAATTCAGCCATTTTAAGACTAATTGAGCTGAAACTTGTTGTGCTGTAGCTAAGAATGATTGTTAAGCTTGGATTATACTTCAGTAAGATGTGAGACAGCGGGATGGAGATTGCGTAATTTTGGACGTCTTTTTTCTGAGCGAGTATAAATGAGCTGAAGACGCGGTGGGCTATAAATTTTAGATCCTCCATCTGCCCTCCCACAGCTCATATAAATTCACTCTAGGAGGCACAATTTATATGGATAGCATTTTTTTTTACAATAAGCAGCTGGGAGGAAAATGAGCAAAAATGAAATAGAAGTAACAACTTTCTTCTTCTTGCCTTTTTTAAAAATGTAAGCCGGAGTATAAAGTACAGATAGTTGTGTGAAAATGTAAGAAGTAGAAGTAAAAAGAAGGCTGAAAAATAAATACACAAGTAAAGTACAGATACCCAACAATTCTACTTAAGTACAGTAAAGAAGTATTTGTACTTAGTTACTTTACAACCCTGTAAAAAAAACTGAGATTTCAAAATGACATGGGGATTACTCTTGGCTACCACTTTACCTAATTTCAGCTCAGTATTAAAAAAAATGTCTAAAATCCAACTATTTGAAATTATCTTTGGTGGCCATCTTGGATGGTGAATTTACATTTAGATTTTGTTAAAAATTATTCTTGGCCAATACTATATACAGCGGGTAAAATAAATATTGAACACGTCAACATTTTTCTCAGTAAATAATTACTAG